CTGTATCTCCCCCTCACCCCCTGTATCTCCTCCCTCACCCCCCTGTATCTCCTCCCTCACCCCCCTGTATCTCCCCCTCACCCTCTTTCACCTTTCTGTATAATTATTTAGTAATAAATCCTATCAATCAATTATTACTACTGTTACTATTACCAAACTAGCAATTTTACCAAATTACACTTGTTACCAAATGGCCAAACTACCATTGTTACCAACCTACCACTATTGGCAAACTACCACAATTGTCAATTTTGCATCCATGTCCTTATATCCCAGCTCCTGGTCCTCATATACCAGCTCCTTGTCCTCATATCCCAGCTCCTGGTCCTCATATCCCAGCTCCTTGTCCTCATATCCCAGCTCCTTGTCCTTATATCCCAGCTCCTAGTCCTCATATCCAGCTCCTTGTCCTTATACAACCCGTTCTCGCAAATTTCCTTATATCCCAGCTCCTGGTCCTCATATCCCAGCTCCTTGTCCTTATATCCCAGCTCCTGGTCCTCATATCCCAGCTCCTTGTCCTTATATCCCAGCTCCTTGTCCTCATATCCCAGCTCCTTGTCCTTATATCTCAGCTATTTGTCCTCATATCCCAGCTCCTTGTCCTTATATCCCAGCTCCTTGTCCTCATATCCCAGCTCCTTGTCCTCATATCCCAGCTCCTTGTCCTCATATCCCAGCTCCTTGTCCTCATATACCAGCTCCTTGTCCTCATATCCCAGCTCCTTGTCCTCATATCCCAGCTCCTTGTCCTCATATACCAGCTCCTTGTCCTCATATCCCAGCTCCTTGTCCTCATATACCAGCTCCTTGTCCTCATATACCAGCTCCTTGTCCTCATATCCCAGCTCCTTGTCCTCATATACCAGCTCCGTGTCCTCATATCCCAGCTCCTTGTCCTCCTATCTCAGCTCCTTGTCCTCATATCCCAATTCCTTGTCCTCATATCCCAGCTCCTGGTCCTCATATCCCAGCTCCTGGTCCTCATATACCAGCTCCTTGTCCTCATATCCCAGCTCCTTGTCCTCATATCCCAGCTCTGTTGGATAAAAAAAAATACAATGGTTTTGCCTAACCAGAGCTCAACGTACAAACCCAAGCAACCCACCAAACCTCTTGACGCCGATACATAGAGAACGTTAATAATACGGTGCATTTGAAGACATTTTACACCTGGGTAGAACTTCAAGCACTTAAATGCGCTTGCAGGGGGGGCGGGGGTTCAGCTGCAGCTCTTGGTACCCGCCTTTCAACTTTCAATGATGATGCAACCCATGGACAAGTGAGGATAGCGTCCCGTCTGTGGACAAGGGGACATCGTCCAGTCCGAGGACAGTGGGATATCCTGGTTTAAAAGAGGAAATTGAAGGTGAGGACAGTGAAGCTGGGTACCCAGATGAGTCAGGCGGCAGTGAGGAAGCATCCCTTCACTGCTGATCGCTTACTCTAGTGATGAATAAGTGGGATGAAGTAAAGGTGAAACAGTGAATGCTAGATCTACTCGTGAATAAAAGAGAGAGAGAGAGAGAGAGAGAGAGAGAGAGAGAGAGAGAGAGAGAGAGAGAGAGAGAGAGAGAGAGAGAGAGAGAGAGAGAGAGAGAGAGAGAGAGAGAGAGAGAGAGAGAGAGAGAGAATGAATGAATGAGATAAAAGAAAAAAAAGGCTAATAAGAGAGAAAAAACAATGCCTACCTGAAACCTCAAAGGAGGTGTAATTAGCCTCCCTCTCACACTAACCTAATTAAGTCTACACTTACCTAACCTCACCTGAACTCGTCTAATTTCAGGGGGGGGGGGGAAGGGGGTATAATTGCCGCCCTTGTTATGGCTTTACCTTAAAGAAAAAAACGAAATCAAAACACAATTACTAAATAATGAAGCCATGTAATAGGATCACAGATACAGCACTGTACCCCCCTCGGTTACAGTGTAGCGAGATAGTTGCTAACCAACTGTATTGTGACTACTGATCTCTGATGTTTTACTCGTGTGGTGGAATGGTAACTGAAGTCTTGCCTTGACCCCTAACGAGCACACGAGGTAACCCAGAACATTATTTTTACGTTGTGGGATTGTTGTTTTCTGGACACGTGCTTCCCAATGATTACAATGTCCAATGTCCCCAATGGATACAATGTCCAATTTTCCCTTATGGTTACAGTGTTGGTTCGACAGTGAACTGGCGGTGTTTTTGGTTATAGTGTCCACTGAACTGATGTTTATACAGCCTCCCCTCACTATATACTATAGTGGAAATGTCTGGGTATTAAGGGATCATTGTATTGTGGTTTGAGGTTATATTAAATGGCTGGGATGGCTGTCTGCGAAACCAGTTTGGGTAGGAAATGTAGATGTTTATCTCTCAGAATGTTTGGTAATATGTTTATTGTTTGTGATGTGTGTCTATGTATGTATTAACACGATGTACTGAACGGGGTGAGAATAGCTTGAGCTACCTCATCCCTTTGTGTGTATTTTACATAAATAAACTTATTTCAATTTCAACCAGTTTGGGTTAATTGTGGGAGTCAGGCCACTCTTGTGTTTGTTATCTTCTTCTTGAGGTTATCTTGAGATGATTTCGGGGCTTTAGTGTCCCCGCGGCCCGGTCCTCGACCAGGCCTCCACCCCCAGGAAGCAGCCCGTGACAGCTGACTAACTCCCAGGTACCTATTTACTGCTAGGTAACAGGGGCATTCAGGATGAAAGAAACTTTGCCCATTTGTTTCTACCTCGTGCGGGAATCGAACCCGCGCCACAGAATTACGAGTCCTGCGCGCTATCCACCAGGCTACGAGGCTGACAAGTGTGACGTAGTGGAAGGGTTGGAAGGCGGTGCTGACTGAGGTCAGTCAGGAGTTTGTTGGCATCAAATTCTTCAGTTCAGGCAAGACTTGTGTTTGTGCAGGCGATGAGTCACAATAACGTGGCTGAAGTATGTTGACCAGACCACACACTAGAAATTGAAGGGACGACGACGTTTCGGTCCGTCCTGGACCATTCACAATCGACTTGAGAATGGTCCAGGACGGACCGAAACGTCGTCGTCCCTTCAATTTCTAGTGTGTGGTCTGGGCAACACTTGTGTTTGTGTTTGGAAGGTGTTTGTTAACGCTTGTGTGGGGGGGGGGGGTGCGATGACGGGGAGCAGGGAGGGAGGGAGGGTATCGCATGTTGTTATGGGTATGGGTTCTGGGGTACACAAGTGCCCGCACTTCCTAGCAGTGCTTGCCCATCCTCCAGAAGGCTTAGTTAGTTTATTATGCACTCTATACCCATCGGGTGGGCAGCAGTGGACTCCATGCCCATACTTTGGACGGTAGGGGAAAAAGCTAGATACAAAATGGGGTTAAGACTGAACCCTTAAAATTCATTTAGCTAAAGCAAGTAAGTGCCCTGGGCACTCCACTTGTAATGGTCTTCGGTTACTTCATCCACGTCTCATGTTTCTCTCTTTTCTTCTGTCTACTACTCCACCTCTTCCTCCTTTCCGTCTCCGCCTCCTCTCTTCGTAGTAGTAATCTAATACTGTCAGTATTAACGCCAGAAAGTAAGTCATGCAGGGTGCGCAAACCGTGAGAATCATCGCAATAACTGCGCAGGTCACAAATTGGATAATCTTTTCTCGGCGAAGTTGCAAATAAAACATGGGTGTCATATGTGTGTTGTTTTTGCCCAGACTCTGAACGTGTAAACGCTAAGAGTGAATCGTACTCAAGTCGGTGAGTCATACTCAGGCGCTGTCTTAAGGTCGACCTTGAGATATGGAGCGCCGGGCGTCATCTCTGATGTGACTCAGTTGCACACAGGACATATTACCAGTCTTGTTTTTGTTGCTTGATACAAATGTGTTATGTCCATTGGTAAATTTTTGTCCAATGACAAATGTGGGCTTCCAAGGCGTCGTGTTCAGAATTTGTTGTAAATATTTGAGTGAGTAAAGTAAATAAGTAAAGTAAAGTGAGTTAAGTAAAGTGAGTTAAGTACATATTTAAATATTTAAGTTTTTACCCGAATGTTACATCTGTTTTTAAAGTGAAGGTATTAGCAGGTGCGTCAAATGAATAAGGTGTATTTTGCCAGGGCTTTGTGTTGAACGTGTTTCGGCAAGTTTAGTTCGAGTGACAGCTGTATCGCTGTCACTGGTGATTGGAGTAGTTGTGGAGGCCTTGAGTGTTGGTGTGGGGTTGTAGTGGAGTGTTGTGGTTGTGGGTTGTGGCAGGGGTTGGGTGAGATGGGGGTGTGATAGCGTGGGGGGGGTGGCAGTGGTGGAACATGTGGCCTGCACAAGGAAGCCTTTCTTGCTGCTAACTGGTTCACTGTCTGGGAGATGTGACGTGCATTAACGACTGTTGGATCATGAGATGCCGACAGTCAGGTGGTGTACCAGCATCACTTACTGCAGGATGAGGCCCAACTCAATGCTGTGTGTGTCAGTGGTATGAAAATGGTGTTATGTGATGACATCAGTAAGGTCCGTGACGAGACTATTGCCACTGGGTCTCATATCACCACCACCTCACCATCAGACGAAAATGACTGCAACCATTACCTCACCATCAGACGAAAATGAAAGCAACCATAACTCAATAGCAGATAACCCAATGGGTACCCAAACCCAAATATAAGTTTGAGATAACCCAAACTCAACCACTAAGTTGACCAGACCATACACTAGAAATTGTAAATTTAAATTTTACCCCGAGGGGCGTTTATTGGGCAGCGCCACTCATCTTGTGAGTGGACACACCGCCATAGCAACATGTACAACACTCCCCAGTAGGAAGAAAACCCGCTGGGTTGTAGAAGGTGAAGGGACGACGACATTTCGGTCCTCAACCACTAAGCTTTGAGTGTCGTCACAATTCTCCGCGTATCTCTTAACTCTTAAATATTTTTCACCCACTGAAGGAAGTATAAAAAAAAATGTTTATCTCCAATTAAATTCAACAAAATTTGAAAATATTTTTTAAATTGTAGTCAGCACAAGAAAACAATATATGATAAAAAAATGGATTTTTATTTAAAACAAAATTGGTTCCATTTTTAAGGCACAGTATGGTTGTATTTTAATTTTAGTGAGCTACTTATACAATCGGATAATCTTGAAAATGAATTATGCAATACATAAAATCAGTAAATATATCAAATGGGTGATATGCACTAAAATAAACTGGAAGAACAAAAGTGATTTGGATGAACAATGATAAACGACAGTCTAGACAGTCTTTGAAGACAGTCTAGATGAACAGGTAAGTTTATTAACATTAATTAACCAATACTGAAGCACAAATTATAGAAATATGGTGATACAGTGATGGTTACGGTGACATAATAATGATCAAGGCCACACGATAATGATCACGGTGATACGGTATTGGTGACACAGTAGTAAATATTGATAATAAACAGTTAAACTTAAATTAATGGAGATTGCTATAAAATAGTGAAAATAATTGAACACTGTACCATAATAAGATAACATTTTACTATAGTAATGAATGTAGCAATAACAAAAAAAATTCAGATAAAATGTTATCCTTCAGGAAAGAGATCACAGCTTACCGAGTTATTCAGTATAGAGACATGAATAAACACATGATGGATGTACAATTTTATGTAATATATATATGACACTGTCTCAGAGCACGAAGGAAGGATTTTAAGACAGGAATTTCCTTAAGTATTATACAGTACTTTCGTATTTAATAATACACTTTCAGAAGGATGCATCTTTCTGAAGAAGTATTATTAAATATGCAAATACAGTACTTGAAGAAATTCCTGTCTTAATCCTTCCTTCATGCTCTGACATGTATATATATTTACTACATAAACCTGCCATAACTATATATACATAATATACTGTACATAAATATTCACGTGTCATGCAGGGAGCACACGGCACATAATCCTTTCTAAAATGCTGCTAAGTATATTTATAGTCACACATTCATGAAGTTTAACCCTTCTTTGGCCCATTTTGTATATAATACCTGTATTGCAAACAGGTCTTGATAAAAAAAAAAATCAGATACAATTTTAGGTGATAAAAATTACTGCAATTTTTCTAGCCAAACTTTCTAAAAATACAGTACAGTATATTAATTGGATGGAAAATCCTACAGAATGTTAAAGGAATGTCAATTTCTTTATGTGTGTGTGTGTGTGTGTGTAATTTCATTCACCGGAGCACTAGGAGCCTCGAACACACGACCTCCAGCATGGGAAGGGGGAATTATCAGGGAAAAGTGCCAAGTTATTAGAACTATATAGCACTTTGAAAGAAATAGGACAAGGATTTGGGATTGGACGGGGGAAAGGAATGGAGATGAGTGCTCCATCAACTGAGCTGTGAGCTAGCCACAATAAAGAAGGATTTCAGATGCACCACAAGGAGACAACGAAAGAGCACTCATCTCCCATGCTGGAGGTAAAGTATTCAAGTGTTCAAGGCTTGTAATACTCAAGTGAATGAAATAATATATATTATCTATATATATACACCAGTGTATATATATATATATATATATATATATATATATATATATATATATATATATATATATATATATATATATATATATATATATATATATATATATAATATACACAAGGTTGCTGTTGATATAGGTTGACCAAGATCACATTGAGCTAAATTTGATGACTTGCACTTTTGTTATCACTTGGAATGTTCACATGAATTGCTAGAGTTTAAATTTTCATTGACATGTTTTCAAATAAAAATATGCTTTATTAGAAAGTCTTAGTTTCTGATCATAAGAAAAACTAAACATTTTATACCGATAAAATTATTGTCTTACTGTAATCGATATTAAAATTACCTTGTGAATCATTATAGATGACAATACACAAATTTAGCTACTCATGAGGATAATATAACATTCCTTTACAGATTAGGCAATGTACTGTAATCATAAGCTAGAGAGCTGTATAAAAATAGAAAAACAACTTGTCCTAAGCAGCACCTTGCACTTAATCTGTATCTATAATTAAGGATGTCTGTCTTCTTGTCTGTCCAAGGTTGGAAGCCAGCTAGAGCCTCACCCAACTTGTCAAGATGATACATGGATGGTATGGAAGTGTCATAGGCTGATGGGGTGGGGGGGGGGGGGGGGGGGGTCAGCCCCAGTATCCCCCTTTTAAGAAATATCAGTTCCTATATTTTATAAGATTTGAAAAAGGGGATTTGATTTTGTAAGGTTTTCACCTATTAGTAATACTAGTTTCCGTGAGAGGGGGAGTGCAAGATATGGGAAGAAGGGAAAGGGGGGGGGGGTGAAACCCTGGCACAGCCAGTTACCCTCATCTACAGATTTGCACTATCTCCATAGATTGTGAGCACAGATAGGTTAATTAAAGTAGTTTTAATTTAATGACTCGACATCTATACTTTGGGAGAGCGAACTGTACCTCTCAAATCATTATATAGTCATTAATCATTTTCATGGTCAATGATGAGATTACAAAGAGTTCTACATAATGCAGAGAATAAGTCACAATACCTGTAACCTGGCTGAATACTAGACACCCTACCCACACATATGACAAGAAAGGAAAGTGACAACATTTTGGTTCATTCTGGATCAATATATCAAGTCATGTAAACAAAGAGTAGGAGAGAGAGAGAGAGCTAACAGAAGGCATGAGCAAAGGCGAGGTCAAACATTACACAATGTCAGCAGTGGGGTCATGCAGGAGTGTAATGCTGGGGTTCATCTCCAGCTTGGCTTTAACTGCTGCCTCGCGAACTTCGGTAGTATGCAGCTCTGTAGGGTTGCTCCAGAGGGGACACCTTTGAGAGAAAATTAAGTTTTTATAGGGAACCTCGTTAATGGAATATAAAAAGTCAAAGAATTTTGCTTAATTATATTATGCATGTTTCGCAACAGAAACAATATGCATGACATTTGCTTTGCAAGAATATACTACTTAATCACCAAAATATGTACTTTCACTATACATATTAATATAAATTAATAACATCATTACCACCACTAAATTAATCCTTCAAAACAAAAATCAAATAATAAAGGTTTCAAATGTGAAACAAAACAGTTTTTCATGCAGATATTGTTTATAAGCAAAACATTAATTGCTATTCCTACTGTGAATACATAACAAACTACAGTATTTTCATAATCTAAAAGTACCATAGTGAGATTTAATAACAAAATATTATTAAAATAAACGTGAGTGTGTACTCTATCATTAAAGGAACCAAGTACACCATACAAAGACATTGAAGAACAATAGTACACCATACAAAGACATTGAAGAACAAAAGTACACCATAGAATGAGAGGAACCACTATTAATGGATTTATTAACCCTTAAACTGCCCAAAACACCATATGATGTGTGACACTGAAGGGGTAGAATTCAAAAAGTATTATAATAATGTAAAAATTACTTAAAAATGTTAAACAAATCTGCAACTTATTGGCTTCAGCTTCGTGAAACTTTCATCAAAATATTTTCAGAAATTGATTTTAGACGAATATTTAAAAAAAAACTTCAGAATCCAAAAAGCTAGTTTCTGACTGATTCTCACCATTTTTACATTTAGTGTGCACAGCTGTCTGTTCTACAATCCCTATAGAATTGATTTTTCATAAACTCGAAAGTTTGGAGTTATAAATTTTTGTTGTCTAAATTTGCGCATATTTCAAATGCCATATTGACAATTTTTTTTTACAGTAAACTATACTGAAAACCTATATTCTAAATATATGAAAATGAAGATCATATGCTTTTCTGAGAGCAAAATAACACCAAATGAAGAGTTGTGATATTTTTATATGTTTGCTGATTTCAAAATCTGAAGTTTTCAATATTAATTTTAAAATTATTTTTTATTTTCTTGTTTTTCAAGTTACACTGGTATCATTTAGACAAAGTTGGAGCATTTGTCAAGTAGATTATTCACAAAACATTTGAAGGAGTTTCAAAAAATTTAAAAAACTGAGTTCAATGCCACATATCATATGAGGTTTTGCACAGTTTAAGGGCAGTGATACACTTTATTAAGAGGAGTGAGTAACACATTTAAGTTTTCTTACTTGTTAGAAGCCACTTGTCTTTGTTCAAAGTGATTGTAATCATTTCCGAGTATAGTTTTGCATAGATAACACATAACGGATCCACAAGGACATACCATCCGATTACACCCAGCCTCAATGATGAACCTCTTCATGCATTTCGGACATTCCCTGCAATGTGAAACTTTTTTTTTCCAGTGGAAACCATGAAAAAATACCATTTTTTTCCAGTGTTAACCACAAGTTATAAACAAAAAAATATATGTTGCAGTTTAAGCTGTAATTATGACATAACAATGAATTTAATGATTGCCCACCTGATCATAGCTTCTGCCATGCGATTCTCCAGGACTGTACGAGCATCCTTCTGGTCCTCTTTTTCAATCTCACTACACCGGTATGGGATGTGGGATACATCTTTACACAATCTACAAAGCAGTTTTATTAAAAGCCATTTTTTTTTTCTTCAATGAATACATGACAGTGGTACCTTGTTCAAACAGACTAATTGGGACTGGACCCATTGCACGAAACGCTGCGCGTACTAGTGGCATTAGGCATAGTATATACTAGCTGTATCTAGAAATCCAACATTCTATTTGTAACTCATTTTGTACAGTATATGTGTACTTTTACCTGAATAAATATTATTATTATTATTTTTATTCCATTCCAGTCAAGAGAATATTTTGGCCTTTTTTGCTTTTCATCCCAAAAGCTACTGATTTTTTTTTTTACCCAAATGATAGAACACATCTTTGTATTTCTAGGCAAAATAATTTATACAAAAAAATCACATTAACAAGCTCCTTTATAAATTTTGTATTAAATATTTAAGTAAAAAAATATACTACATATGGAAAAATGTAATAATTTTATTTTAGTACAGTGCTTATTTCTAAAGGGAAGAGAATAGTAAAAACACTGATAAAACATGAAATACATTTACTGTATGGGTATACTGTATTTTCAGTCTGAGACAAGTACACAAGGGGTTAATACACTTGCCAATTCTTTCCAGCCCATTAAGGGTTCCAGTCCAATGCAATCTCCATTTGAGCAAGGTCCTGTACTTAGAATTAAAATATTCAATGCTCTAGTGGGATGCCACCTAGTTGGTCAACATTATACTAGATTTAGCTTATTCATGTCACATTATTATAAACATTCTACTCAAAGGATTCTTTTTTACAACTGATGCATTATTGACTTCACTGGCAAATGGGGGGGGACCTATGACAAACCGCCAGCTTTCTGTCCTCATCGAGGACACTAGTGTTAGTATCCCTCAAGTAAATTCAGGTAAATTATTGTAAACATCCCACATACTGGATTTTTTTTCCTCGCACTCGATGCATTTCCCATTTTTAAATTCCTTTATGTATTCAATAAAGTTTCCTACCTGCAGGACTCCTTCAGGCACTCTGGATTGAGGCACTCGAGCACTTTGTTCTCCTGGTTTGGCATGATGATCATGAAGTTACAGAATGGACACGACTCGAGGTTGTCAATGCCAGCTGCACGTATTTCATCTTGCTGCTTCCTTTCTTGAATCTTTTCGAAGACCACAGGCTCCATTACTCTCTGCAGAGTCCTCCATGAGAACTCCGACTCACAATAACCATTCATGCACCTAAAACTGGAATGTCCCAGGCCTATCTGGGCTGCGACATGTCTGCCAAAGGATAATGACAAGGAAGTCGAGATAAATTCTTAAGGGTCAAGTGATGCTAGATACAGTATATGGTTTTCCATAGTGGGGGACAGGAAGCCTGTTAGGCTTATCAAGGTCCTCCCTAGGCTAGCTACTGACCTTCCCCAGGATGCAACCTACAACAGTTGCCTAACTCCCAGGTACCTATTTTACAGTTAGGTGAATAGAGGCATCAGGTGAAAGGAAACATTACTCGCATGCTTCTGTGCGGCTGCAGGAATTGTAGACATTTATTACAGACCAGCATGAACTTGAAGCAAGATCTTTTCACTGCAGTTTATAAAAGGAAAATTTACTTATAGATGTGCATCAATTTTATTTCAACCAATGCTAATTTTAGATAATTCCTATTTTGAAATATTTGTCTGACATTCTCCTTTCATAGTTTTAAACTGCGACAGTCTAGAAAAAAATACTGTCTTTCCCCATCAAGGTAAAATATTTGCATCATCACGAAAAATATTTGGCATTAACCAAATACGATTATGCACTTTGAAAGATACATACTTCCTAATACAGTCAATGCAGAATTTGTGGAAGTTGTAATAGGCATTACAGGTAGCCATATTCTTCTCTAAAACTTGCTCTTCATAGCATATGCTGCACTCGTGGAGTTCATTGGCTGTTATGTCCTGTGGGTAGTAAGGCCAAACGAGAAAAAAAAAATTACACCTATGGGCAAAATAGGAGTCCAAATTACAGGTAGTTAAAAGATAGTCAAGGCCACTATAAACTATGGGCCTCGGGTAATAGGGTACACACACATCTTGGTAAGAAAACAATTCAAAAGAATTTTAGAATCATAGACATGCAAATCAAGACTAGAAATGTCTTCCTAGTCTCAATAACATAACCAGAAGTGCAGAGAAAAGTACATTCCAATCAGTTTAACCTAACACATCTGAAATTACATTAAATAATACTGTGATTCACTACTGATACCTAACAGTACTCATACCTAATCAAGTCACAGATTCACAGAAAATTATCCAGTCTAAATATCTTACATACCTGGTGATTATGCCTATTATACAATACTGTATATGGGTCAAGGCTTGCTGGTTAATGTGCTCTATACAAATTTCTAAAAAGCAGTTAGTATAACGCTACAAGAAAAGCCCTAAACAATCTAGTTTATGGAAACACCGTGGATTATGCAAAACTGACCTACACCAGGAACATTCATTCATTTCGAAGACCACAGGCTTCATTACTCTCTGCAGAGTCCTCCATGAGAACTCTGATTCACAATAACCAACTAATTGTGAACTGATTTGTAGAAACTTGGTTACCTCCTTATGACTAATTTTTTTTTTTTCATTCATCTTGACAGATTTGCTGATGGTATACAGTATATTAGGAAGAAATTAACTCAAAAGTAGTTACATAATTACAAAAAATCAAGTATTGAATGTAATGAAATTCTCTTTCCTGGGTGGCCTCATTAACTGCTAGGAGCAAAAGAGCTTACAAGAGAAACCCCTTCAGTCAGAGGCATTAACCTGGATGAGGAAGAGCAAACTAACAACCCAATCCACTCCAAAGCCAAAGGCATTAACCTTGATGAGGATGAACCAGCAACCAAATCCGCTCCAAAGCCAAAGGCATTAACCTTGATGAGGATGAACCAGCAACCAAATCCGCTCCAAAGCCAAAGGCATTAACCTTGATGAGGATGAACCAGCAACCAAATCCGCTCCAAAGCCAAAGGCATTAACCTTGATGAGGATGAATCAGCCACCCAACCCATTCCAGAGCCCATGACCCATACCCTGGTCAGGAGCCTGAGAGAAATACTACACTGCAAAGAATCTGCAAAAGGGACCACAGAGGCAGATTGCAGCCGAGATACCTACAAAAATGGAATCCCCAGACCAATGGGAAACTACTGAGGGCCAGCCGAGAAACTGTCATCATTTCTTTAAATATATTCATATGGAATCAACATTTTTTGTATACAGTATGTAACTATGATATACTAAGCAATTCCAATTTTAATATTAAAATGGCATTTAAAGGTATTCTGATAGTACTTGTGGCTACTTACATTAACCAAATTAACAATAAGGTGTGTGCATTGAACTTGGGTGTGCCTATGGACTAACCTGCGCAGGGTCTAGAAGTGGCTCTGGTATCTCCATGTTGGTTGAAGTGGAGGGCCTTGGAGTAAAGATGGCTTGTCTCTGCTGCTTGAGGTACCCAGACATCCTGGGTTCGCTGGACTTCTTCTCCAGCAACTCCTCCACCAACTTCTCAAATTCCTCTTCTACCCCTTTGATTGTTGTGCACCTGCCAGATAGGGATTTCTTGAGATTATCTTGAGATGATTTCGGGGCTTTTTTTTTTTTTTTTTTAGTGTCCCCGTGGCCCGGTCCTCGACCAGGCCTCCACCCCCCAGGAAGCAGCCCGTGACAGCTGACTAACACCCAGGTACCTATTTTACTGCTAGGTAACGGGGTAATCCTGACTCATAATGTCCGGATATACACATACACAAGTCCATGGGTATTATAAATTCTAATATGAAATTTGCAGCCAATTACCTGTATTTCTTCTTTGTTTATCAGGTACATAGTATGACCAATTTATTATGTGTGTCGATAATACTTATACAGATTCAAGGGAGCAGATTCTTTTGTTATTGCTGTGAGTGTACATTTCTGACCTGGCCTGTGTCCCCTTTTTGTACTGTAGAACATTAAATTACTTCCTTTCAAATCTAGCAATAACACAAAATAATAAATATGAAACTCATTAGACACTGTGTATCTAATCAACCCAACAACGTAACATAATCGTACGTTACATTTGGCAAGTTTAACTTGGGTAGGTTCTCTGAGGGTCATTTGAAGGAAAGCGATTGCAGTTTTCAGGAGCTTGCGGCTCAAAGAGTTGAAAGTGCACTGCATAAAGGCCTAAAGCATGACAATCTGTACACACTGTTCTTGGATGGTGTCAATAAGTATAATATGGGTATCATTATATCACTTGCCACAGACCATTTAAACCATGCGAACAGACTGTGATAAATGATCAGTAAAGCTGTACTGATACTGCCCATAGGGCAATATATTTGCATTTTATGGTATGATAGGATGACATTTATAGTGGGGAGGTTATTATACAGTATATATATATATATATATATATATATATATATATATATATATATATATATATATATATATATATATATATATATATATATATATATATATATATATATATATATATTTATTACATCAATTTTAGATTATACAGTACAGTACATTTTGGAAAAATACCAAATTATATTTTAAATTCTAGTGCATTCAATTTCATGGTTCCCCTATTTTAAAACTAAACTTTAACATGAAATCAATACACACAAACTGTTTCACACAGGATGCATAATACTATAAAATGTTTGTAATTTTAAATAGCCTACAGAATAGACAGAAAGACATGTCAATGATCTGTTTATGCCACACTTGACATGACTGCTTCTGTCTGCCACACTTCCCATGGCTCTGCTTCTGTCTGCCACACTTGTCATGGCTCTGCTTGCCTGCCACACTTGTCATAGTTCTGCTGCTGTCTGCCACACTTGTCATGGTTCTGCTTGTCTGCCACACCTGACATGGCTCTGCTTCTGTCTGCCACACTTGACATGACTGCTTCTGTCTGCCACACTTGACATGGTTCTGCTTCTGTCTGCCACACTTGACATGGTTCTGTTTCTGTCTGCCACACTTGGCATGACTCTGCTACTGCCACACGAGTAAACAACACTGATCTAGTCATACCAACTATGGATGTTTTCTTGTGTGAAGATTGGTGTGCCTTGGGTGTAAAGCACAATGTTTAATCTGGGTGTCGCATGTTGTTGTATGAGAGCAGTGTGATGTGTTCTTATAAAGTGATGTGGTATGAGTTCAGTATGATGTGGCTTAGGTGCCCGGGAATGTGGTCTGGGTGTGGTGTGTCCTGGATGTATGCTTATGTTGTCTAGGCAATGATGCAGTTGGGACATAAAAAAGTGCTTATGACACTTGCCAAAACTGAGGTAATAATTAAGATTACATATTATAGTCCTTAATTGCATATATCTTTACTGCTAATAGCAGTGACACTGAATACTAATTAAATATTAGTCTATAAAGCTGCATTTCGCATGTTTAAAAAATACTTTTAAAATGTGGTGTGTTGGCAGCCTTCAACCTCTTCTGGCAACAGCAACAAGCACGTGGTTGCTATATTTATCCTCGGACCCTGACCAAACACACCAGTACCCTATGCTGTAGTTGCCCCAAACCCAATAGCAGCAACACACCAGAATCTCGTGCATTAGTTGCCCCTAACCCCACCAATGACACACTAGAATCCTTGTAGTCCTCTACTATCAGAATATTAATAAAAATGCTATGCATACTGAGCAGACAATTTGCATATATCCTCTAAATAATCTTAAGATCCCCTTTAAAGCACTCTGTATATGAAAAATGTATGGATGAAAACCTTGAATTTGATTAGCTAATAGTCTATACCTTCTGAAATGTCTTGGAGCACAGTGGTCTATGTCCTCTGCTTACAATCGGGGGGGCCCAGGTACAATCCCCAGGACAGGACAGAAGTGGTTGGGCATGTTTCCTTTCATCTGATGCCTAAGTTCACCTAAATAGGTATCTGGGAGTTAGGTAATTGCTACAGATTGCATCATGGGAATGGTGACCCTTATGGTATGGACCCTTGATAAGTCAAAGTAAAGGCTTTCTGTCCTGACAATGGCAATTAAATATGCACTGGTACACTTCTCTGATAAGAAATGTACCAATGAAGCTTTAATACCTGTTTTATGTTTGAAAATTAGGATACAAATAATTGTTACTACACATATTCAGTACTTGGTTACTGTGTACTAGACAGTGAGTCAGTGTGTGCCATCGGGAAGTTTAAGGCAGGAATATCTAGCACAGAACACAGCCCCTCCTCCAAAACTTATAAAATCTATAGTTACTATGGATGGAATGTGCAAATTTGGACTGTTATACCCAAAAAGGAAATGTTAACATTTTATGCTATTGAAGTGTTATAGAGTATGGGTGGTGAATCATTTTTTGAGCGTGTGCTCAAAATGGCAATGATCCTCTCAAAAATTATCTTGCTGCCCATGGGAATTTTGAGCCATTGATTAAAATATTTGTATCTTACCCTTTTTACAGGGAAGGAAAACAAAATCCTTGAGAGCATTCTTAAAGAAGTTGGTTAAAAACAGACCATAATAAATTGGGCAAGGCTTTAAAGAATCAATGGGCAGAATGTGTGCCATATTCCAGCCAAATTTGTAGAATGCCAAAATGGAAACGCACGTCAAATTTGCCACCCCTGCTGCATAACAAAAAGTGGAAGAGTAATCATAGACCTAACCTGTTTTACGACTAAATAAGAAATCTTAGGCCTACTTAGTACAGTACATGCAAGTTCAATAGACATGGTATCTTTATGGCTTTAAGACTGCAGCTATACCAATTTGTGGATGATCTATATATCAAGATGCATGTGTAGGTCTTAAGGAGAAAGGCTTAACTAACCTAGATTTCAGATTTAATAAAAGTAACACAGTTATTTAGATGCAGGTACAGTACTGTATTTCTTAAAAGGTGGTACAGGGACCAACTTCGACTGGCCTTTGACACACATACCCCCGATGTGTCGTTTTGAAAGTTGGGGGATGCTAGCCCAAAGCTTCTGGCCTCCTACTTCAGACTGACGTTCTGTTTTATAGATATACTGTAGACTGGGTAACATGAACAAGTTATTTTGTATGTGTTCATATACAACATGTACAGTATGTGTACTAGCATCAACTCACCTCTCCTCCAGGTAGTTAGGTTCTGCATCAGGGAACATGTTGACTAGAGCAGCCAGGTGTGCTGCTACTCTGTCTTCTTCTGTTTCCTCATGTTCCATTGCCTCTTCGGACAGCTCCCGTGCCAACTGTTCATCAGCAGAAGTGTCCTCAGACTCTGTGATGTTAGCCTCGTCTGCGAGCAACCGTGCTATCAACTCATCACCTGACATTCCAGCTATGCCAGTTGCAACATTTAAACGCATTGCTTCAGCTGCCTGATTTTCAATGTTCATAGTTTGGTCCTGCTCATCATTAATTTGAGTCTGTATATGCAATCTTGGAACAACTGACATTGGCTGATGCCAAATCTGAGCATTTTGTTCTAGATGATACTCTTCAGAATCATCTGAGTTTGATGAGTGATCTTCATCCAGAGGTTCTGTATCTTGCATGTTCTCTCTCATTTGGGCCTGAAGACACATTCCTGGATCATTTTGGAGTTGGAGATGCCATGCAGGATCAACTTGTGCCTGGGGATGCTCCCTTGGGTCATGGTGGGCCTGTGGATATTCCTCTGCATTATACTGAAGTAGTTGCTCATGATTATTGGGGTTTTCTTGATGTTGCGGTTCCTGGTCGTTTTGATGTACAAGCAGTTGAGCATCATTATGATCCTGTAACCACAGGAGACTTTGCATCAAGCCCTCAGCATCTTCATCTGTCTCACAGATCTCCAGCTGAGCCTTTAAGCTCTCTCTGTCTACATCATTAACAACAGCACAAACAAAATCCAGCCTCTCTTGGCACCACCTGTCCTTTTCAATATTCAATGGCACAGGTCCAGCCATCCTGCAAATCAAAAATATACTTACAGTATTAAATATTCCAGTAAATGAAAAAACAAGCTAATATCATGCAGACTTGACACTCATATCAGATATACATAACAAAACATAAAAGATAAAATTTAAAACTCGTGCAGTGTTTAGATATTTCACCACAACAAAATACCATAAGATAAGCTATCAAGAGGAAGAGCAAAGTACATACCACCTTTGTATGTATTTATGTATATAGGTGTGTATATGTATGTATGTATGTATATATAATGTGTGTGTGTGTGTGTATATATATATATATAATGAATGTATGTATAGATACTGTATATAGATGCTGAGGTTGATTTACTTTCTAAGGTGTTTTCCATCCTACATCAGCCCCAAATTAAAGTTGTATGACACCCTTCTGATGTCCATGCTGGTGAAAGTCCTGAACCTTCCATTGGACGACTCTCAATGGGAGCAAGCAACCCTCCCTGTAAGACTCGGCGGCCTTGGTGTCCGCACAGCCTCCCAGATTGCTCTACCACCCTTCCTTTCCTCCCATGCATCGGACGAAGTGATTTGGCAGGAATACATGATCCTGCTTTCACTGAATGTTCAATTCAGTGGGAAAAACATAAACAGTCCAGCTGGAAGCACCCACTAGTGGAAAAACTAGCTGATGCCATGCTCAGAGTCGCAACATCAGACAAGGAGAAAGCCCGCCTCAGTGCATGCCCCCCCCCCCCCCCCCGTCATGCATCATGCAGGAGACATCATTCTGGCAGTACCCATGTTGGCAATGGGCACATATTTAGATCCAGAATCCCTTCGTGTAGCAGTGGCCCTTAACCTTGGTGCCTCAATTCACACTGAATACAAGTGTACTGTGTTTGCAACAGGGTGGAGGCAGACAAATATGGACTGCATGGGCTGCACTGCAGAAAATCCAAGGGCTGGCATGCAAGTCACAACGAGGTCAATGACATCGTCAAGAGGAGCCTTGTCTCGGCTCAGCGCCCAGCAGAGAGAGAACCTCGAATCCTAGGAGGCCAAAATCCGGATGACCCTGCACTTCGCCCAGATGGCATTACAATATACTCCTATACATTACAATATATTAGACAATTGGTGTGGGACTACACGTGTGTATCCACCCTGGCTGACACCTACATACGCTTCAGTGCTAATCAAGCAGGTGGGGTGCCACCCACAGGGAAACAGCAAAGTCAATCAAGTACAGGCAACTGGACAGTCAATACACCTTTGTTCCCATAGCATCTGAGATGCATGGCCTCTGGGGTAGGAGTGCCTTGAGATTCCTCAAAGAATTGGGTTCCAGTCTCATTGACATCACCAGACCCAATGGCTGCTAGTTTCTTGTTTCAGTGCCTCAGTGTGGCGATCCAGAGGGGAAACGCCTGCTGCGTCCTCAGTTCTTGTCCGGAAGCGGAAGAGTCCAAGAGATCCATAACCTTTAATCCCAATTGTATTAACCACTGTACATCTTGTAACCTTTAAATATCTAATAAAGCACAACAAAAGACAAAAGGAAGGGGGTGGTAGGAGAAAAGCACACAGAAACTGTATTGGAGGAGACCTAAACATTCCCTCTAATGTGCTGTGTGATCTCCTCCGAGGCTAAGGGGTTCCCTTCTTCCAACCAGTGGTGGTAATTATATATATATATATATATATATATATATATATATATATATATATATATATATATATATATATATATATATATATATATATATATATATATATATATATATATATATATATATATATATATATATATATATATATATATATATATATATATATATATATATATATATATATATATATATATATATATATATATATATATATATATATATATATATATATATATATATATATATATATATATATATATATATATATATATATATATATATACCCCAAGCATATATATATTAATATATAAGTTCACCCCATAAGTGAACTGAATCACTTATGGGGTGTGAGTTTTCAGTTGCATATATGCCTGGGAACCATTCAGGCTTGTTCGAATTTGTGTTCCTCACGTGTGCCCCAAAGAATGAGGTGATTTGATAAAATACTATGCCCAAGATTACCAACAGAGTGCCAGCGGGATGATGGGGAATTAGCCTCGGCTACCATCATCTTTTGTCCGGTCGTGATGGTCGAGTGGTTAAGGTGTCCTGTACACCAGTTGCAATGTGCTCCTGGCAGTATGGGTTCGAGTCACTTCTGGGGGTGTGAGTTTTCAGTTGCATATATGCCTGGGGACCATTCAGGCTTGTTCGCATATATATGAATGAAAACTGCACCCCAGAAGTGACTTGAACCCAGATCGCCAGGAGCACAATGCAACTGGAGTACATGGTACCTTAAACCACTCGACCATCAGTGACCATACAAAAGATGATGACAGCCGAGGCTATTTGAACCACCGTCCCGACGGCACTTTGATGGTAATCTTGGCATAGTTATTTCATCAAATCACCTCACTTTATGGGGCCACATGAGCAACACAAATGCGAACAAGCTTGAATGGTCCCCAAGCATATATGCGTATGAAAACTCCACACCCTAGAAGTGACTCGAACCTAGACTTGAACCGCCAGGAGCTCCTGGCGGTCTGGGTTCATATCCACCCATGAGATTGGGTGGATATAAATAGGAGCTGCCTCATATGGCCCAATAATCCTAATGCAGTTACCTTCATTCTTGTTCTTATGAAATAAAAGTGACAATGCTTCTGTCGATCCCAGTGGATCCTTATCAAGCATTGATACACTCGGACCGAAACGTCGTCCTTTTCATTTCATTTCCTGTGTGTCGTTTTGACGATAAGGGTACAGGACTCGATAAGAATCTACAACAACCCAAAACGTCGGCCCTTTCATTTCATGTATGTGTGGGTTGAGTTATTAGTTTTTAGCCTCACTATTGCGACATTCTCTGTATATACAGAGTGCACTTAATTTATCTTTCTCTGTCGACTGTGTATCTAACATGCTATATATGTATGCTCCTCTTCTGAAACTGTGCCCGTAAGTACAACTAGGCGAGTACACTCACTCGGCCCCATCTGCATGGTTGCAGCAACAGGAAATCCATATCACTAAGCATTCTTAAGCCGAGCGTTGGCCGAACACTCACATGCACGTCACGGCCAGTCTCGCGAGCCTCCTCCTCCGTGTATGTACTTTTTTTTTTTTTTTTTTTTGGAGATATATACAAGAGTTGTTACATTCTTGTACAGCCACTAGTACGCGTCGCGTTTCGGGCAGGTCCCTGGAATACGACCCCCGCTGCGAAGAATCGTTGTTACAACCAAGTACTCATTTTACTGTTGAGTTAAACAGAGGCTACAGTTAAGGATTTGCGCCCAGTAAATCCTCTCCGGCCAGGATACGAACCCATGACTAAGCGCTCGCGGAACGCCAGGCGAGTGTCTTACCACTACACCACGGAGACTTATGAGGGATTTCGGAAGGCTAATGAGGTCTAGCTCTCCATGCCTCAGCCTTTTATGTATTACAGCCGAAAAATGTATGAATGCATTGTAAAAAAAATACTCAATCACCTGTGGTTGAGTGCTCAATAACCCATTGCACTATATTTAGAAGAAAAGAGCTCTAACCCTGTCTGTGTAAGACAGAAAAGAATACATGCTATTTGGTATTGTAAAAAGCTCTGCATTTCACATTTCGCGGCTGAATGTACAATATCTCATTATACTACACTATATGATCTCTGAGATCTCAAACCCTGTCCATGGATAAAACCAGATTATTTAGCACGGGTGGTACTAACACAGGTGGAAACTGAGTAGCCACAGAGACATTAGAAAGGACTTTTCACTGTCAGGGTTGTTAATAGAATGCATTAGGAAATGAAGTGTTGGAGGCAGATTCTATACACATTTTCAAATGTAGATACGATAAGAGACCAGTAGGCTCGGGAACCTGTTCACCAGTTGAGAGGCGGGACCAAAGAGCCAAAGCTCAACCCTAGCCCCAAGCACAATTAGGTGAATACTCCCCCTTATCCGGTTCACGAGGATAGTGCCCCCCCCCCCACACACACACACAACGCCCCCAAGAGGGGGGAGAGTGAGAGGATGGAGCCCAAACACCCATCCCACTGCGCTTCCTGTGTGTTCCTCCTTTATTGTTGCACGTTCCACGGCAGGGTTTCGCAATGGGATGCAAGTCTGCCAAGAATGTGTAAAACCTTAGCGCTCTGCGCGAATGAAGAGAAGTCTACGCCTCCAGGAGAGTATTAAAGAGGTTAGAGAAGAGCGAAGGTTAGGTTGGGCCGCCCGGGACGCATTCCAACACCCCGAACGTTTGGTAGTATGGAAGAACCCCCCAGACACACGCCCCCCCTCCCCTGTGAACTGTCTGCCTTGCTTAAAGTCTCTTCCTGCTCCACCATTATATGGAGGCTGAGGCGGTGATACCAGCAACACGAGAGAGAGAGAGGAATGAGAAGTGGTAAGTGTATATACAATCCATGAGGTGAGGAATGCTGCATGGGAAGCTCTCCCCCCGAGGCCAGGGATGGTGAAACACTATACACACCTTCCTCCCTCTCTCTGCACCAAACTAACCCCCTTCTACACACCTCAAGCACCCTCGACGGTTCACTAACAACCCCACGGCACGGAAGGACGTGACTTACCTGGCGTTAAGGCGTTAAATCCAGTTTTAGAGCGGAGGTGGAGACAGTACGCACAGTCACATGTACCGCGGGGCGAGACTGGCCACCCAGCTGATCCCACACAGACCTCCGGACGTGATATGGACACGTTTATCAACGAATTTCTACTTCATTTCGGGGTTTTAAATTATTTCTTATTTATTATCCCATCTTCTCTTTGTTTTACGTTGCATTTGGGGACTTTTATAATGATTGAAATTAATTGATGAACGTGTTTTCATTATTAGTTGGAAAAGGCGGATAATTGCTCCTTTACTATGTAAACAAATATATATATGTATATGTGTGTGTTCTTCTTGTTTTATTATTGTTTGTGTTGAAACATTGTGTATTAACATCCACAAGTATATAACTATTGGAGAAAATGCAAGTTTAAATTTGTTTTAATTCGTGTACTCGGGAAGAACGTGGCAACCGCGCCCCTCTGCTAGGAAGCCAAACATAACCAGTTCTTCACACGTGAAACGTTTCCCTCGCCTTGCACGCTGCCTGGGTCCACCGCGTTCATTACATGTCATGAACGTTCAGTACGTTCACTCACGCCGTACCATACCATACGTGTCTACACCCACCGTACCATCTTCGGCAGATAAATAAGAATACCTGGTTGATACCTGGTTACCTCGGTCTTCGTTCCCGACTCACACAATCGGGGATCTCGGGTTCAATTCCAAGACGAGACAGAAATGATTGGGTACGTTTCTTTTTACCTAATGCATCTGTTCAAATTCCAGTTAAAAGGTTCCCGGGAATTAGGCACCTGTTGCTGGGTTGATTCCTTGGAAATGTGGGGGCCTCGATACAAGCTTAACCTTTACATGCTTACTGTCCCCGATTGTAAGCTACTTATTATCTCAATGGAGAAGTTTGGATTTTTGGAAAGACCTGGGTAAATACTGGTGTGGAAACGGCGGTTGAATTATGAAACAAATTACCGAGTAACACATTAGGCGTGGGCTCGCAGGATTCTTTCAAGACTAAGTTATATATATTTAAATATATATTTATATTTATATGACAACTCATATAAAGTTGTATATATCCTCCTGTATATATATGTATATATAAAGTTATATATATCCTCCTGTTTAGATAGTACTTTTTGTAACTATGTGGCCCATCGTACATACATTGACGTAATGGACAATCAGATAATAGAAATTAATACTAAAACTTTATAGTCCTGAAAAAGTATAAAGCTAAAACCAAATTTAAATGTTCCTAGGCCTAGTATAGCACATTCATGAACTATATTAGGTTTCAGAAAGCGTGTATTAGGCCTAGGGAGGTTAGGATAGGTTAGAATTTATTAGCAACATAATTACAGAACCTTTTCTGGGATGTCCGAATTCAATAGTATTAAATTCTACTTTCTAATTGTACATTACATGTACGATGGTCCAGATCGTTGCTGTAAGTACTACCTAAAAAGGAGGGTGGGCTGGTGCCTAGTATGGGCTAATCCGAGCTGCCTAGTGCTGACTAATAGCAGTAGCCTAGTATGGACCTATAGGAGCTAGCTGCCTTGTATTGGTAAATAGGCTTTCTGTAATATCCTTTATTCATTTGTATAAGTAAGCACTTAAGTGTGAGGGATAAGCATCCGAGAATAGAATTACTCTTGTTTTCTTTTGTTTATTAAATAATATACAATATAAGGATCATGTTTACATAAATTTATAAGGGAAAATGCTACATTTATATATATTTTATATAATTCTCAGTAAACCAAATTTTCCATATCATCACCGAGCAATGTTGTGAGCCTCTTGTTGAATCACTTGTGACACAAAAGATTATTGATGTGTGTACTTCTGTGGGTGATTAAATATGTATTATGTGTATGTATATATGTATACATATATATATATATATATATATATATATATATATGTACATGTATGTATGAGAATGTGTACATATATATATATATATATATATATATATATATATATATATATATATATATATATATATATATTATATATATATATATATATATATATATATATATATATATATATATATATATATATATATATATATATATATATATATATATATATATATATATATATATATATATATATAACATTAATAATTTTGTAACTAGCGTCAAAAATTGTTATTTGCTTAGCTAAACGAACTAGAGGGTTCATTTCCTGAACCGATTATGTGCCTCTGTAACCCTTTACACCACCGCCCACGGGATGGGTATGGGGTGTATAATAAAGAAAAGAAATTGAATTGAAATCACCGAGCATGAGCCGTAAACCCCAAATGTTATACCTGATCCTGCATCGCAAGAACTTCAATATTTTGTCTACTGAGTCACCCTCCTGCCTGCCTATCCACACACAAAAAATATAATCGGAAAGTAACATAATTATTGCATTATTAATTTTCTTGCATTTTATGTCAATATGAGACATTAAAAACCTCATTAAATCCACTCTAATGCTAATAGAATTAGCATTAGAGCATTAGCATTTATTTATGGTAATAAAGCTTTAAGAGTATTTGCAATCCAGTTTAAAAGAACAATTCTTCTAACAGAAATAAAATATTCATATTATTTTCATTTTAAGTACATTGATCACACCTATTGTTGTCCTCAATGCCCATCATCAACAACAACAACCTATCATCAGTAGGGAGGGTCTCATGAATCAATACAATCTTGTGAGACAGAAAATACTTAGCAGTTTATGCATGAAACCAGAGATGAGGGATAGCCTCGCCTGCCTCTCTGACCTGTCGTGCGAGGCATTTCTCATTGTTTACAATGAGACCCAATTAGGGCAGTCTAGCATCTTCTTCCAAGAGGAGCGTGAAAGTATCTCTGTGGACTTGATCTGTGGTATCCCTGATTATGTAAATAGTATGTAAATATGTCTCATCTTATGTAAATTGGTCTCATCTCGTATGAACTAGTAGGCATACAGCCGTGTGCTGGCTAGGCATGATAGTAGGCTTTCGACAGTGTTCTTTTCATCAATTTTATATGTGCATGGCCACACGACCAGATGCACAGGAACATAAACGAAGGTGTACATGAACATTCACTCATGTGTACACATAGATCTAAAGTAGTGTGCACGCATGTGGCCGCATAACACCGACATTTGCAAATATTACTCAAGCTTCAACTTCCTAGAATTCTCGGTGAGTCATTTGTGTGTGTGTGTGTGTGTGCTCACCTAGTTGTGCTTGCGGGTGGGGGGGGGGGGGGGTTGAGCTCTGGCTCTTTGGTTATGTACTCACCTAGTTGTGCTTGCGGGGGTTTGAGCTTTGGCTCTTTGGTCCCGCCTCTCAACCGTCAATCAATTGGTGTACAGGTTCCTGAGCCTACTGGGCTCTATCATATCTACATTTGAAACTGTGTATGGAGTCAGCCTCCACCACATCACTGCCTAATGCATTCCATCTGTTAACTACTCTGAGGTGTGTGTGTGTGTGTGTGTGTGTGTGTGTTAAAGGCTGTTTTTTTCTATATTCCCCTCCGTAAAAAATACGGGGGTTTAGCCTAACCAGAAGTATAAAAATCTAGTCATCCCACCTAGCCTACTGGAGCACTCATTATTCCCAGGAAGCGTCAATATTTGGGCGTTTTAAATTTCCCTAAACCACCGCATATCTTACGGTGGTTACAACTGCGTCAAGAATGCAGTGCGTTTATTAAGAAGACTAGTACGAATCTGATCAAAATTACATGTTTTTCATTAAAATAGTGTTTATTCTTCTTTAGGCCCCTACCGCATGTTCACCTGGATTCTATAGGAGTACTGGATGGTGGGTTGTTGCACAGGAGCCAGGTGTCCCTCCACTAGGCCGTGAGGGACACACACAAGAGCAAGGAAGCCGAGACGACAAATAGCTACCAACCCGTTCTCGCACTTGCTTATAGTCAATATTGGCTTATTTAATAAGTGCATATGTGACATACTAATTGATTGTAAATATTTTAGTTTACCTTGAAAAGCTTCATAGAAAACACCGACCTCACCTAACCTTCTTAGTATGTTAAGATAAGCATCTTATTGCTTCTTAATTACAATTATTACTTAACCTATACCGTTGATAGGTTAAGTTAAGTAAGAACAACTCACAGCATCAACCTCGCCTGAGCACTGGGTTCCTTGTGACTTATCTCCACGGAACACGGAACACCGTTCAAGCTCGAACACCTGACCCAACCCACACGTGTGAAAGAATTTTTGTCAGTGTCAGAGTAGTAGACAAATGGAATGCATTAGGAAGTGATGTGGTGGAGGCTGACTCCATACTCAGTTTCAAGTGTAGATATGATAGAGCCCAATAGGCTCAGGAACCTGTACACCTGTTGACTGACAGTTGAGAGGCGGGACCAAAGAGCCAGAGCTCAATACTTAGGTAAGTGCAATTAGACGTGAGTGAGTGAGAACGTTTCCATTCTCCCTTATCAAGTCCTGGGGCCCTTATCAGGTCTTGGACACGTTATCCAGTCCTGGACCCTAATCTTGTTCTAGACCCTTATCCAGTCCTGTTTTATCTCCTTCACATTCATGTCATAGACTGATAAGGTGACCCAGACAGGCGAGGTCCCTGTCAGTGCTGAGGGAACAGTCAGTTGGTTTTCTGATTTGATATAATTTCTCATTGTGAGGTGGGGGGGGGGATTTATCGTGCCCCCCCCCCCCCCCACCTCCGGTGCCAGCGACTGACCTTCCCAAGAATCGAACTCGGGACCATAATCATGCAATCTGTCTAGCGTGTGTCTGGGGAGTCCAGGGACGCATGTTCGATCCTACTGCATGGCCTTAATGTTTTCTTGTTAATTCATTATGTTGTTGTGATCCCGTTGTACATGTTAAGTCATTTCCAACCACAATATGTTTTATAGTTATCAATCGGCTGTTGTTAAGCTGTGGTAGAGGTTGTTGTTGTTTGTTTGTAAACAACAAGGTGTAAGGTATTTGTTTACTGCATGTTCTACCACAGACGTGGCCATACGTCTGTGGTAGAACAGACGTATGGGGTAACTATACTACTATGTGCCGTCTTAAACGGCATATAGTAGTATATTTGGCTTCGTTCTCGACTCACACTCGGGGTC